AAATTGCTGATTCATTGGAACATATTTGAGGTTTTCTTTTAGAATTTCTATGAACAAAAAAGAATTCCTTCAGGAATTTGCCATTAAATTGTTTCCTGTTATTTCTATTTATTCATTCATTGACTTTCATTCTGTATCAATCTCATGTGAAGTAAATTTTAACCAATTTAGAAATATGTCCCTCAATTAATAATCTTTGAATTATTTTATTTCTGGTATACAATCCTAAAGTCACAGAAAGAACATTAATACATTATTAAAAATTAAAGAAATTTCAATATTAATTTATGTAATAAATATCTTGTGGGCACCTTTTAGGCTAGAATTTATTGGTCTAGAGAAGGGAATCTCAGCTTAATGTTCTTTTATTTTATTCAAAGTAGTTAATCAAAAGCTCAGCTTTGCAAAACTACACTCTGTGGTAGCCTAACTATGGAAGGCATAGGAAGTCAATTCTCAAAAATAATTCTCAAAGATAATCTAAACTGAATTTTACTCTCAAGTTGTATCTTCCATTTTTGTTTTAAATTATGACCTCAGAGATTTTCTACTTTTCCCTGTCTTATTTACCTTTAAATGTGTCTCTTTTTCCCTATTACACAATGATTATTTCTGTTTTAACTTACACTTCCCTAAAACAGAGAATACTGCTATTTTTAATACTGGTTGCCTACATTTGTAAACATGTTCACATGTTAATCTTTCCAATTGCATTTTGCTATAGGAAATATATAGTTTCTTAAAACTAAAGGGTTATTTTCTCATATAAGTGCCAAGCTCCTAAGTGATTTAGCACTGAAAGCTTTTCAAAAAAAAAAAAAAAAGAATAAAAAGAGAGAGAACTCATGGACATGGACAACAGTGTGGTGATTGCAGGGCAGGGGAGAGGTAGAGGTGGAAGAGGGCATAGTGGGGCTAAACGGTGAGGGGAAAAAGCATTTAATTTTAAAATAAAGAAATTCTAGCCCATGGCTCAGTGGTTGAGCATCGACCCACGCACCAAGAGGTTGTCGGTTTGATTCCCGGTCAGGACACATGTCCAGGTTGTGGGCCGATCCCCAGTGGGGGACATTCAGGAGGCGGCCAGTAGATGTTCTCTCTCATCGATGATTCTGTCTCTCCCTCTCTCTCTTTCTAAAAATCAATAAAGAAAAAAATTTTAAATAAAGAAATTTTATTGCATTTTACCCAAATTTATTGAATAAAGTCTCAATCTTCTTTTCTCTTAGAATAAAAATTAATGACATTGCAAATGTACATCACAAAATCTCCCCGTAAGCCTCAGAGCAGAGGGATGTGTCCCCCTGGTGGAAGCTCCACGTTCAGGGAAAGAGTCCGTGAGCCCCTGGGGGCCATGATGTTAGTCGGGCGCACAGTCCACTCCTCACACTAGTCCACGATGACAATACATTGACCCCTTCCTGTCCTGACCCTCCTTGGCCAAAGTGATTACTGGAGTTCAGAAAATACATCTCCTTTAAGCCATTAGTGAATACACGTGGAAGGAGGACAAAAGTGAGGATTGTTTTTAAAGTGTCTGATTTTCTTCACGTCTGCTCAAGTGACTTGTGAAACCTGGCCCCTGGGTCTAGCGGTGCCCTGGAACTGCACGCAGGGAGGGCACGAAGAGGGAACATTAGGAGGCTCAGGTTAGCACTCCATAGTCACCTACATTTTATGTTGCCTTATCCAATGCTGAATTACGTTGCTGTCTACTAGAATTAGAACTATAGAGGAACCTGAAAAAAAGAAGTTTGAGGCAAAAGCAGCTTCTACCTGTAGATGCCTTATTTAACCACTACAAGTAGCTGATTCTGTCCGTGCATATTCCTTTTTGAGTGGAAAGCTTGTAACTGATTTAACAGTGCACTGCTTTTCTCAAGAGCCTGTTTTTTTCCCTGAATCTTTATGCTGGGGATGAAATTATAATGGTACAATATATGCCATGTATACCAAATAGTGTTCAGTAAATGGTGCTGTGTGGAAGACTCAGTTGGACTGAGAAAGGAAAATAAGAAATAATCATTTGGGCCAGTTGTTAAGCATTGGCAACCCATAAACAAGGAAATGTTAGTAAAGCATTTACATGACAAATAAAGAAACTATTAAAATATTTATATAAATATAAGAATCAGCCAATTTAGGAAATTACTCATACATTTTCTATGGGAGTGTTAGCTTTCAAGATAGGCTAATAATCTAGATTCATGGCTAATCATGCCACAGTGTGCTCATTAAACTGTTTATTTTGGCCAGAGTGAATATTGATTGGCGAGGACTCCTGGTGTCCATATGACCACTCTGTTTCCCCTGCAGATACTGCTTGCTCAGAATTTCTAAAAACGCAATGCAATATTTACAATTTGAATAATATCACCTAAAGACTTTGATTACTGAACTTTATTCTCTGTTAGTCTGCTCAGGGATTTATTTTCCTTCTTTCAGTTTCAAAAGCTATTAATGGGCATCATAGTTGATCATGGTTTGGTCAAGTCGTAAGAAGACGACAGAAGCTGGATCACCACTAGTATGACTGAATGCTTGGTACAACGTTATTTCGTCTGACTTTCTAAACAAGACACAGGGGCTAAGTACATTTCTGGAATCAAATGAAAGCTTCTAGGATTGGCAGGAGTCATGAGTAAACATATTCCTCATTACTGTTCATTGACAGGGACATATCTGAAATGCAATGGAAATGGCCATTTGGAAGCTGTCATTAATTGGCAGGTCATCAAATAAAATGTATTCTCATTAATTTTGGTTCTGTTAAATGAATCTCCTTCCCATAGTTGGAGGTGTCTGGCAGGTGACAGAACTAAATAGCAAAAACAGGTCACCATTTCTCTTTATCCCACATGCATAATCAATAATTAACTCCCAGAGGCTTCACAGTCACTATGTTAGTAGTTTGAGGTCTGCAAAGTACAGTTTGAAATGAAAAGAAAACTAGTATTTTCAGCATCTACTAATGTGATAGACACTGTGTGAACTTGGGTATGAAGTCTCAAAGCCTCCTTCTTGGCAGCGAAGCCATGTCATTTATTTCTGAGAAGTAAATTGTTTAGCACAGTACAAGGCAAAACAGTCTATAGGAATGCATTTTGTTTAGACAAAGGCAGAAGCTGAGTAATCTATTTATATGCCTTCAAAGTTAAAAAAAAAAAAAAAAAGACATGATTCATGTGCCTCGTGAAACGGTACTAAATACCATGAAGTCAGCATTTTCTCTAATCACGTTCAATAAATCGTACCCTTCGAAAAGTATATATGCATCTTTCACTTGCACCATGAAGAAATTAATTGGATTTGGTTTCTGAATAGTGTTTTCTAGTCTGATAAAGCTGCAGATCTATTGGCTGAGTGGCCCTGGAATCGCTCCTAGCCCCAGAGGAGTTCATTTGGGGCACAGCCTCCCCCTCTCCCTTCTGGAGTAGGATTTCATGATGACTAATATGAGTGGAGAAAACAGATACATGTAGGGTGTAAGTAGATGCTCGACTGTCCTCCTGGATGTGTGCACGTCTGTATTTCCTAAACACGTACTAAAAGCCAGCTGGCTGTCCTCCAAGTCATCACACCATTTCTGCTTTGTATCCTAAAGGAGACCATTGCTGGGTCCATTGACTTGACTCCAAATGGAAGCTTCTCTAAGATAAGGTGGGAGACAAATCCTTAGAAGCCTGATTTCAGGGCCTTAGTGTGATTTCGGTGAGTTTAGGTCTACAGAATTTAGACCGTTATATGCAGCGTATAGCCAGTATGATCTGGGGTCGCCATACTGAAAACAGACAAACGTTATATCTGATACTTGTTGAGCATATGCAGTGTGAAAGGGATTGTTTTAAGTAATTTCCATTTATTATCTCATTTTAATTCTTTATACTATAGACACTATTGTTGTTTTTATAGAGGGAGAAACTGAGGCACAGAGGGACTCTCAAAGGAGCCCATTGTCACACAGATACCAAGTAGAAACACTGGGATTTGAACAAGACACACTGTTTAAGAGCATGTACTATTAACCACTGTGACATACTACTTCCCAAGATTGGATACCATGCTCTTTTTAAAATAACTGATAGCATTCCAAATAATTCCTGACAGATATGACAGTCTTCAGGAATGCATTTCTGTCACTACAAGCATTCCAAAAACTAAGTGAAATGCCAATAACATTACCTTCCCATTGAAATTTACCCAACTCAGGCAGGCTGACCAGTATAGGCTCAGGTCTTTTATTAGGGTTAAATATATTTTATCTACAGTCTTATTTTGTTATAAAGTCTGTTTGCTTATATTCATCTGATTTTTAATTATTAAAGTTCTTGTCAAATCTCCATCTAGCCTATTCCTCAGGGACACTGCTGGATATACTGATCAATTATGATAAATTCCTGCATGCGATATAAATGCTAATTATTAACCTTCCTTAGGTATGATACTGTATATTTAAGATATAGCAATACTGATTTTTTAATGATTTAAATTCTAATTTTGCTTTCATTAAAGAAATTTATGCTAAACCTTTAACACATCAGACTCTTAATTTGGCAAAAGCCAATTTAATTTGGGGTGTGAAAAATTGTTTAATTGCTATCCATTCCTAAAGGACTTACTTTAGCATTAGTTTCAGTCAAATGGTGTCTGTCATCTTACCTCCTTGATTTCATTTGTCAAAATCTGTCAAAATAAATTAATTTATCAAGAAGATGTCTTAAGTACACTCTGGGTGACCATGAGTTGGAGCACTCAGAGTGAGATGTCTGAGACCCTCATCATTATTTTCAGCTTAATTCAATAAAGACTTCTTGGTACACGGGCACATGATTGTCAGAGTTTTCATAAAATAATCTCTTCAGAAGTATTGCTCTTTTAAATCTTTACTTTTAAAACCACACCAGCTGAAATTGTATAATTCTACATTGATTACTAAAACACTTGTTTTGTAGGTAAAGAAATGTGGAAAGTTGACTTCTGTCCTATTTTTGTGTTCACAGATGTTCGAAGAAGAACAATTTACGAATACCATCGAGTAGAGTTACAAATGTCAAAAATTACCAACATTTCTGCCGTGGAGATGACCCCATTACCTAGTAAGTTAACATCCGAACAAAATGAGGAGGAAAAATTATTAGCGACTTTGATGCCCTGATCTGTTTAGTAATCATGCGACATGGTCCTGGTGTGCCCAGGCATCTTTATCCTGCGTGATGGGTGTTGTTTCCATTTCGATTGTGCAATCAATCGTTGGTGTCATTCTTTTCTCCACCCTCCCAATTAGTCTTGATGACTCTTCTCTCCTGTTTCCTAGCATGTCTCCAGTTCAATGGCTGTGGCCCCTGTGTATCCTCTCAGATTGGCTTCAACTGCAGTTGGTGTAGTAAACTTCAAAGGTAAACAAGAATAATACCCCAAAAATGAATTTTTGGAAGATTTGCTGCTTCTATTCTTCCATTAAATTTTAAATGTGTCAGATGTGTTGATTAGCAAGTGTATATGTATAAAAAAAGCCATGACAAAAATGAAAAAAAAAAAAAAACCCAAAAGCCACACATGCTCACAAGTGGGAATAACAATTTTTTCCTCTGTCTGGTTGCTCAAAATTACCAAGAATCCTCATAGGTCATAAGATCATTATTTGACATACACTTATAATCTCTTTGGGGCTTCAAACAGGTGATAATTGTAATTGATGAATCTTTAAATTGATGTTTTTGGTCCATGTTCTACAGAAAGCATGGTATTAGATATCTTTACTATAATAAAGAGAATTTATTCTTAATCTCATGATCATTTTTAGAAAATCTTATAAATATTTCAAAGTTTACTAGTCACGGTGAGACATGTAGCCTGAGGGTGAGGGACAGAGTGACAGGAACTGGCCTTTACAATAGCACATGTGGCTTTGGTCTGTGTTGTAACAAACTGACTTTGAAACTTAAGCTGCCTCACTTGTCAGAGAGGATTATGATTTCCGTGAATGGTAAAGAGGATTTCTCAGGCCTTGGAGCTTAGAGGATTCCGAATGATCATTTGTTAGAAATACAGAGTGAAGACCTTTACATGTGTTTTGGTATTTACTTAACCGTTTGTGTATCAGTTATGTCCCAAGCACTGGAAAAGCATCAGTGAACATATAGACCCGTCCCTGCCCCCCATGGAGCTTCCGTCTGTCTGAGAATAAGCCCCCTTCTCACCTTCAGGGTCTGTGATAATCTGCTTCTTCCTCCAGGTGGAGAAGGGAGTCTCCGAGCTGTTAGTCAGCCCACGTGGCCTCAGACTGTCTGTAGTGAGCTGTCTGCGTCTTATCATCTTGCGGCAGCATTTGCCGTTATGATAGAGGCATGTTCAGGAATATTTTTAAAGTTACTGGAGTATAAAGAATAGAATGCCAATTCCTTGATAACAAGCTTTAGGAAACATGTTTAACTTGCTAACATTGGGGCCACCGCTACATTATTCTGGCTAGAACAGTATCATTTAGTATAATTTATGTTTTGCTTTCAATTTAACATGTTGTTCCAATAATTTTCTTTCGGCAATGAATTTCAAAGAATGGAAAAGCAAGCAGGCAATTAGTATTCTTCAAAGTAGATTTTAACTAGCTGTATCTCCAGAGTAGGAAGAACTGCTATAAAGTCAAGGGTGGGGAGTTATTTATATTCATATTTTGATGACATTTCACAAAAATTACACGCATGTTAGAAATGATTCAAAATCTGTTTGGATAATGACCAAAATGAATCAAAAGAGATGGCATTTTAATATGTATATTTAAGTAATGCTGAGCTGAGACATGAAAAATGCCCAATAGAAGGCTCTGGTTTGGGGTATGTATCTAATTCAAGTTTTCATTTAGTAATCAGCTCCTCTGAGAAATGTCCCTAAACCACAAGTTTGTGTGAGGTGGCCAACCCCTCTGTTCCCTGGCATCCTGGCCACACCTTCATTGTTGGCATTTAGCGCGGGACAGTTCATTTGGTCAGTCTCCTCTGTCAGCTCTGGGTTTTTGAAGTGTGGTTTGCCCTTTTACCTACAGCACCTAAGGATCTACCTGGTGCTGCAGAAACATAGATGACTGAGGAGTGAATGAGTGAATGAATGAATGATTAGGTTCCAAATGAAGAAATAATGATTAGATTTGTCTGGGACCAAAGGGTTTCCCAGCATGAGGGACTTGCAATGCTGAAACCAGGAAAGTCAAGGGAAAAAACCAGGTCAAGGTTACCACCCAGCCAGAGTACTATTAGGACAATTCTCCAATGAAATAATGTCTTGATAATTGAAGCTTTGGGACATTAGTCTATAAGCCTGCATTCTACTAACCATTTCATTATGGTTTTAAAAAATCTTCTTGGTGGAAATATGTTTAAAGTTTCAAACAAACAATTTTGACAATGAACAGACATCCACAAATTGGAAACTGCTTTATACTGTTAATGCTTTCATTGTATTGAGACACTTCACTGCCAGTCGTGCCAAGGAATTTTCAAATATATTTAACTTGTACGACATTTTTACATTGGAGGAAACTGTAGCTAAGCTATTTGTGCAGGGTCTCATTGCTCTTAAGTGTTACGTTTGGAACTGAAGCTTAATCTGTGTGGCTCCCCTGCCTGGGGTTTTGACACCTCACCTGTTCTGCCTCACACCTGCCAGGCTTCGAGTAAGTTAATCTTCATCACTGCCTGAAAAATAGTAGACATACTGCTGAAAATTAATACTTTTACAACTGACATTGCAAGAAAGCAATAAATTTTATTGGCATAAAAAGAATGCAGAAGAGACTCAAGCAACACATAAGACTATTGTATGTAATTGAAAGCACAATTTTTTTGTGATTAATAGAAGAAAGAAAGGCAGTGATGCATATGGATGAGGAAGGAATTCATCAAATAACATCACTGAAAAAATATGAGTTTACTGCATGTTGCCATTTGATGTTTTGTTGAATACCAAACACTGGTTTAAAATCTTGGATTTATTTTTAATTCTTCAACAACGCAGTTATATACAAATCAAAACGTGCCTAATTAATTGGTTCAACTCTGGCTCATTGCACCTTTGTTTAACTTAATTTCCCCACTGCATTTTATTAATTTCTCCTTAGACCTGTGAGCTTCAAAACTTGGCTTTTTCTGCCCAGAAGTATTTCCCAAGACTTTGGAGCTTTTATTAACAAATTCATAAAAACAAGAGAAGCCTTATCCTCAGCAGCACAAAAGGTGCTGCGAAGATTCTTCTTTCATCCTTCTTACATTCTCCTTTGTTCTTATTTATCCCTGAATAATAATCAGTTGATAGTGATTAGCGAAACTCTCAAGATGGGCTTGCTCTAAGAAGATAAGTTTAATTGGTTTGTTTATTTTCTTTAATTCTCATTTTTCAGGGAGCAAAAACTAAGGTGGAATGTTTGTAATGGCTTACCCAAAGTCAGAGGGATATATACAGATCCATGATCAAATGTGCTTACCTAGAATAGGTGGCCCACTACTTCTAGGCAAGAGTACTTTTATTTATTCACTGCAAATTGAGAGGATCTCAATCAACCACTTTCAATTATACCTTGTATCTTTACTTATTTAACCACAACAACAAAAATGTTGTCTCTGTGTTCAAGTTACAATCCTTGATTGTAGATTCAGTGGTGAGCAAACAAAAAAATCACTTCCCTTGTAGAGCTTACATCTGTAGTATAGAGAGATAGATTTTAAGCAAGTAGATATGCAGAAAATAGACTTAGTAGGGATGAGTGTTATGGCAAAAAAAGTAAGCAGGGCAATATAATAGAAAATATAGCAAAATTGATAAGAATGACAAGTTTATTTGTTGGCATCATGCTAAGCAACCTTAAGTTTTTGAAGAGACTTTGTTTTCATCAGCTGTCATCCTCCAAAAGTTTACTTTTAAATTGAAAATATATTTTGGTTCTTAAAATATTCATTCACTCATTCATTTATTTAAACAGTTACTGAATGCTCTGCACACTGGTCTAAACCTGGAGGTGGTTATAACAATACTCAGGTATTGATCAGAGCCAAAGCTCTCATAGAGTGTTGAGTTTAGCTTATTAAGCTGGAAAATAAATGAAGTAATAGTTAAACAAAAATGTCAGTCAATGATGAGTGATCTGTTGAATTTAAAAGAGCCAGTAAGTGCTCTGAATTGAGTGACCAGGAAAGGCTTCTTGGAGGAAGTGACAAACTTAATCTGAATGATAGGGAACCAGTTACACCCAGGTGAAGGCACAGTGTTTCAAAGGGACCGGCAAGAGCAGCGGTCCAACAGTGGGCGCAGGCTGGCTCTGAGGAGGAAAGAAAAAGGTGCAGGAAATTGGGAGAGTTGAGGATTGAGCATCAAGGCTGAATGGTATCAGATGAGATCAGTAAAGTAGCAAAGTACCAAGATACACCTGGCTTCATAAGGAATGATGTGATTTCATTATATTTTAAAAATGCAACTCTGGCTACAAGGAAAATTGTGTTTCTTGTATTTTGTTTTTTGCTGTGTGTGTGCGCGTGTGCACACGAGATCTTGGGTTTTTTCTGGGTTAGGGTTTATTGGATGTTTATTTCTTTTGAGGGGGTTAAGAATGAAAAGGAAAATAGGAATAAAGTATGTGCACAAAAGTCTACAGAAGGTGTGATAGCAGCTTAGACAAGGATGATACTTATGGGGAACGAGAAGAGATGAATTAATAGAGGTATATTTTGGGAGGAGAGAAGTTACTTACTACTGGATTAGAAGAAAAGGGAGATGAAAAGATACGAATCAAGGACACTCCCTAGATTTCTGTTTGGGCAATTTGAGATGCTGGCACTCGTTTTCTGAGCCGAGGTAAGATGCACAAGAAATAGAGACCAGGGCAGGGAGAAATAACGAGTTTGGTTAGGGACAAGTCCAGTTTGAGAGGCCTAGTAGACTTCAAGTGGAAATGTTGAGTAGGTGCGGATAGATAAGCCCCAAATCCCAGAACAGTGGATGTCTAGAGGTTCAGATAGGAGAGTCATTATCCTATTGATAGTGTTTAAATTCATGGGACTAAATGAGATCAGCCTTGAAGAGAGTGTAAATTGAAAATAAGAGAGATTCCAGGAATGAGCGATGACATGGCACAATGAGGATGATGCTGATTTCCCATTACATACACGGGTTTCTGTAGACAGAGAGTCCCTGTGAAAAGATACACATGAGGGTGGTAACAGTATTTTTCTCTAGGGAAACTGCTGAGAGTGGGAACAGGCATAGGAATGAGTATGACTTCTCAATAGAGACTCTTTCGTATGATGCAAATTTTTGCCACATCCAATTGAAGACGAAAAGAGGCATCAACAAGACGAAATAAAAGAACATAAATTATTCAGAGGGTAGAAATGCAGTCTTACTTATTTTA